AATTCGCAATGCTCATTACTGTATAAAATGCCTTGTCCGCATTCCTATCCATAAAAATGTATCCAAAACCGCTGCACCAAATCAATATTCATTTTTGTTTACCGCGAAATTGCTTGCATACAATTACAGAACGTGGGAATATATTATTTCCAAATACTATTTCGGAATTGTTTAACCCTTTATTTGGCAAGGTACAAATAAATGTTTTTTATTATAAACTAACACAAAATGTTTACTCTAACACTTTTGAACTGAAAAATATTTATTTTTTCCTGTTTTTGACAAAAAAAAAACAATGTTTCTTGAAAGCAACATTGCCTGTTATCATAGAGAAAAATAACAAATTTTATTTATTGTGAAATGAATAAAAACAGTTCCTTTTGGGCACAAAGCACAGAACTAATTTACACTTCTGGCAGTGTAGTGAGTAACCATCTTTGCAATGTCTACACCTCCCTTTATTTGCATAAATCGGAAAATGGCCAATTTCGTCGTATCTAACATCTTCTACTGGTCTAGGAATGACAACTTTTTTCTTGGATGGGACGTTTTCTATGGAAGCCCCTATTCTTTTTCTGGGCCTTCGGCTATCATGGTGCGAAAAACTTTTAGGCATTACTTATTCTTCCCACTTTCTCGTGTGTAAACCAACCATCCATTTACGACAGCAAGATCAATCAACCAGCCAAATATCCTAAGATACCATCTTCTAGATTTTAGCGGAACTCTGTACAACTCAATAAGCATACCAGCTAAATCGACACCCCCCATGTGCTTATTAATGGGTGATTTTTTTGCTAGTATCTTTTTGGCAACACTGTTTTTGACAGATGACGCGTGAACCGTGTCTTGTGTCATTGTCAAACTTGTTCAGTTTGGTCTATAATTTAACCATGAATCGACTTACAAACGAACAACGCTTGCGAATTATTGAATTTTACTATCAAAATTCATGCTCGGTTAAGAGAGTGCATCGAGCACTGCTTCCAATTTATGGGCAATTTGGTCGGCCTACTGAGGGAGCTATTCGGAAGCTTGTGACTAAATTTCGAACCCAGTTTACATAATTGGACATTAAACCACCAACATGCAGACGTAGAGTGAGGACTGAAGAAAATATTGCGGCTGTATCCGCCAGTGTTAGTGATGACCGTGAAATGTCGATTCGCCGCCGTTCGCAGCAATTGGGCCTCTGTTACTCCACTACGTGGAAAATTTTGCGACAGGATTTGGGTGTAAAACCTTATAAGATACAGCTGGTGCAAGAATTGAAGCCACACGACCTCCCACAACGTTTCCAATTTGGTGAATGGGCGCTGGCAAAGTTGGAGGAAGATTCACATGTTTATCGAAAAATTGTCTTCAGCGACGAAACTCATTTCTGGTTGAATGGGTACGTTAACAAGCAAAATTGCCGCATCTGGATTGAAGACCAGCCAGAAGCATTGCAAGAGCTACCAATGCATCCAGAAAAAATCAGTGTTTGATGTGGATTATGGGCCGGTAGCATCATCGGGCCGTACTTCTTCAAAGACGACAATGGCCGGAACGTAACTGTGAATGGCGAGCGCTACCGTGCGATGATAACAAACTTTTTTTTGCCCAAAATGGAAGAGCTGGACTTGGCTGACATGTGGTTTCAACAAGACGGTGCCACATGCCACACCGCACACGAAACAATGGCCCTAGATTGTGTGATTTAACGCCGTTGGACTATTTCTTGTGGGGCCATGTTAAGGCTAATGTCTACAGGGATAAACCAGCAACGATTGACGCACTGGAAGCCAATATTGAAGCATTTATTCGTGAGATACCGGCCGATATGTTGGAGAGAGTGTGCCAAAATTGGGCCATCTAAAGCGGAGCCGCGGCCAACATTTACATGAAATAATCTTTAAAAATTAAATTATATCGACCGTTCTATCGACTCAAATAAAGATTTAATCGTTTTTTCCAATTTTTTGTGTTTTTTTGAAAATCAAATCCTATACCTCTTAAAAAATCACCCGTTATATTGTTGAACTATTTTTGGGCAAGGCATATCTACTTTTCTTTTCTCGGCGGCGTTCCATCTCTTCACAGAGCCTAGGGGTTGTACTCCGACAAAGGAACCTGCCAAAGTAACAACTTTGTTATCTACCCATTTTACTGCTATAAGTTTGTTGTTCTCATCATACCAAAAGTCATATCTTCCTCTTCCCTCCTTTGTAACTTGCGATCATCTTTGAAGGGACAATTTTTTAGCCTATTTTTTCACAAGGTACCAAGTGAATTTATTTGCATTTTCTCTTTTAGATACGAAATTAGTTCGAATGTACAAAAAAAATTATCGAAAAACACTTTGGGTTGCAAAGCGGGTATTGTCTTGCAGAGTAAAATCACCACTTGTCCACCAATACCAAATTTTTTTAGATCGGTAATCATTCCTTTTCCTGTGTAGGGAACAAAGTCGTACATGATTCCTGATACTCCACAGCGCATAAAAAACTTAGAACCCTATTTATGAGGCTTGTTTTGTATGTATTGACATACATTTCCGGCTCTTGTACCCTTATATGGGATCATCATTTCATCTATAGAATGATGAGATTCCTGTTCTAAATTCCTGCATTGGAATCGCACAATTTTCAGTAAAGGACGAATTTTGTAGAGCCTATCAGTAGCAGTTGACGCTTCTTGATTTTCGTGACTGTCTGCAAAATGTAAAAATCGTCTCAGTTTTTGAAATCTTTTTAGGCTCATTACATCAGCAATTTTATCATATCTATATTGTTGACTCCAGTAATCAGTATATGATGGAAACTCTATTACGCCCATAAAGACTAGTATTCCTATAAAATGTTGAATTTCTTTATCATTTGTATTTATGGAGTTACCAGTTACCTGTACAGAATATAGATTAGTTTGTGAACTTATCAGGGTAATCGTTTCTGGCGTAAAAAATTATAAAAGTACGTAAGTGGAGTCTCAGTGTCAGTATCATCACTTTCAAGGACATTCTCCGTTACAATAATATCTTGTTTTTTCCAATGCGATGGATGCATCTGAAACCCGTTTGCTCTGGACAAAAAGTGTGAACGAAATTGGGCTAATGGAATCAAATCGTCATCATCAAATGCATAACTATGCTCTTCTAAAACTTCAGAAGAGAGTAAGTGATTCCTTCCAACATCACCCGTATTTTCAGACAAATTGGTTTCAGCGGCAGTAGTGGTGAGGTCATTATCATCGTCGAGGTCAGAAAAACAGCATCGGATAGAGTGGGATCCTCGGGAGGCAGGATAACTACCTGATTTTATAGATGAACAAAATGTTCTCATAAATAATAATAGTAATAATAATAACCCTTTATTTACTTTTAGAACTATACAAAACTGTAATAATTCATTTGAATTGTCCTATGCCTATGCATGTTACACAAAAAAGGATAAACTTAAGTAACAATACTGAAATAGGGTTATGAGACATATACAAGTTAAAATTCAAGTAACACGTTAAAAAATATATACAAAACACAAAATCTGTTGCTTAAAAACACGTTTAGATACATGAGATAAAATGTTTTTGAGTTTATGAAAGAAAATATTAAAACCTAATAAAATTCACTAAATAATTGTGCACTTTGTTTCCAAATGCAGTCAGACCATCCCTGTCTCCGTGAGTTTTTATACAGGGTGACTTTGAAGTTGAGTCATTAATTTTCAGATAATGAAGATAAACCAAAATATGTGTGTAAAAATAAAAAAAAAATTAAAAAAAATGTTACCTTGTTTTAGAAAGTATCCTCCCGACAAGTATTTCAGTGCGGACCTGTATTTGATCGTGCGGTCTTGGAGCACCGGCATGCCCTCCCCTGTGAGGTCTTAAGTCACCTGATTCACGAGCCCTTTGTACTACATTAACAAAGACACGAGGGGTTGGTTGCACTCGATTGGGAAACCGATCCGCATAAATCCGTGATGCCGCGTAAATAAGAATCATGTCCACAAGTTCAGCATTTTCGTAAACATGTGCCATTTTTGATTTCGTTTGAGCCACGCAACAGACACCACTATTCACTCACGCGTTACCGACTGACACTGACTGTATACAACTGAATAAAATAATTGTAAAAACATCGTTCCAAATTCTTTCGCTTTTTTGTTTCCGATGCGATGAACCGATAAGGCGGATTATATCCGTTGTTGCCAAACACGAGCACATAATATTATTATTGAGACAGGGCTGTACTCAAACTTCCAAAGGGCTATAACTTTGTTACTTTAATTTTACCAGAAAAATGGTAAAGGAAAAAAACATCTCTTTTGATCAGATCTACTCACTGTTAAAATAAATGACTCAATTTCGAAGTCACCCTGTATATATTGGTTGAAACAGGTCCCCATTTAAAGAGGACTATTCTGCCCAACAGTCAACCTTGTCGTAAATTGCAATTTTCCTTGATCTGTAATCATGAAATGATTAATTTCTTAGAAAATGGTGTTAATTTTCCTTTACATACATAATAAGTATAAATATATTCAGCGAATGTAGTATAGATTAGATAGTTAGTAGAACCAAGTCAATAGGCCATAAATTTGATATGGAATGGCAGCGATGTATTTTGCTCCTGCTAGAAGGGGGAAAAGATTTTATGGAAAGGTAACATATTTTTCTCGAGCTCATCAGGATCTGACGTTTATCAACATGAACCATTGATCAGCAATTGTCATCTTTGCGTGCACATAACCGTAGGCATAACCAAAAACCAGGATCGGCTCCAGAATTTTGTGCGCACTTAGGTAAAGGAAAAAATATGCGCTCTCTCGCCGTTGGAATTAACTCCACAACAAGCTATTTCGATTCAATTATAACCCAAAACTAATTTGACCCTGAAGTTTCGAAGATCAAGGGACTTCCGATTCTTTTGATAGCTATTTGCGAAATTCCCATTTTTATGTATTTTCCAGTTTTTATTCTGTATTTTCTGATAGCATCGTGATTATGATTTTTTCCATTCCCAGTTTTCAGTGATGGCCTTGGCCACGCTCGCTTCGTCCAGCCCTGTGACCCAGCAAGACAGCTACGACTCTCAACCTCCCAGAACGTCACGTCAAGAAGTTAGCAGAGGATACAAACCTATCGAAGTGGAACCTGAAGCAGCTGACTCATACCTGCCTTATCAAACTCAGTTGCCCCTACAGTTGCAAGTGCCCAGAGAACAGAACTCTATGCCTTTCATTACGCCTCAAGATCAACTGTACGTTCCTGAACCCGCAACCGACCTTAGGGCACCTACGGAGGGTGGTCAACCCAATTATTACCAAGTAAGTATTGCTACTTTTCTCTGGAAGATATACAGGGTGACTCCAGAGGAAGTGGAAATATTTTAGAGCAGAACAGCCCAAAAACGTATTTTTTGCTCAGATACATGTGAAAACAACGTTGTGGTAAGGTGACGATACTTAATCAATGTACGTTATATAATTGTCAAACTTCATTAACTGATTTGTAGAGCATAACCGATTAAATTCTTTTATGAAATTATAAAATTGTAGTAAGTTGGTTTGTTGCAGGAAATATATAAGAATCGTGGTGAAATTGGTTCCGTATGCGATTGTAGTAGAGCTGTGCAGCTTCAGTATTAAGAATATATTACCTCATGAACATAAAACTCTTGAAGTCGCCAATTTCATATATGTTTAACAACATAGTTAGTTTGAATACCCTTGGTTGGTGATCGCCGCCTTAGGTGTTTGAATCATTCTTTTTACTTCGAAGAGAAATAGATTACCTTACAAAGTTTTTACTCCAACAGAATACAAATATTTATATTTATATTTATATTCTTCTGTCATCGGGATTAGGCCTGTGGTTAAGCTTCCGTATATTGAAATTAAATGAGTTCTTTTTCAACGTACGAATTTCAAATAGGTTTGTGCCATCACGCACAAGCCACAAAATGAGGCTAAATTGAAAAATGGTTGCAAACAACCACGTAAAAATTCAAAATTTTTAAAACATACAGTTGTATAAAATTGAATATAACAATCATAATTCTTCCACAGTCAGTTGGTAATGAGAAAAACGATCCACTTTTTCTATAGGGGTAAACGTATCCTACCAACCTGAGCTATGAAAATTCTGGAAGTTGTGTGTGGCATATACTCAACTGAACGCACGTAAAACGCATAATATATTTCGAATACTCTGTTGATTTAGAATATTTTCTCCAGCAGGTGCCAGTCCCAGCTCAGGAGTTAGTAGCTCCCTCAGAGGTAGAGTGGAACCCGAACAATGACCCGAAACTCTACTACGAAGTACCCGCTGTTCTCACAAGGCAAGAACAGCCCACAAAGCAGTTCCCGAAGAAGTACAACTCCGACATCCACACGAAAAACAAGCCGTACTCCCTAAGGCCCAAACAAGAGTTGGTGTTGGAACCCATCAATGAGAGACAGTACCAACAGAAACAGAACCAATTGCAGAAAACCTATGACAGGTTGGCCAAGAAAGAAAACCAAAAGCTGATCAAAGCTAGCCAGGTGAGTAATTTTCTTGTTCTATCTTTGGAAAAGTTATTGCTTGCCAATGTTAAGAATGTAAGATAAATAAATTTCGATCGATTGACTTTGGAAAAATAGGGTAAAAAGTATAATAACGGTTCTTTAGGTTTGAAAGTACTATGAAGAAATTTTGATTCTGAAATCAAGGCCAACAAACCTTTTGCTTTGTCGGGTACAACATTATTACAAAATAACTAAAATCAATCAATATGTTGAGCAATATTGCAAATCATAACTTTTCACAATCTTTAAAAATAACTCGACCTTCTTTGTGATACAGATTCCAATGAACTTTCACAAAAATCACATATGACCTGTCATCTCTTTCTGGTAAGTTATCGCTCCATGCTTAAATATACAGGGTGGCGCATCGAAAACGAAACAGACGCATTTACTGGCAGCTCAGTTTTTTTTTTTGAAAAACGCTCAGACCCATCGATTTTGTTTTCGAGGGGGACACAAGTCTGACAAAAAATCACGTTAACACGTGCAGCCCCCTTGGCGGGGGTGACACCAACCTTAAATCTTAAATGGAAAGGGGGGTCGAGTGATACCTTATTTCAAAGGTCTTTCAATTCCCTTTATAATGATGTAAAATACATGAGCTTCAGTTCAGTAGTTTTGGATATTTATTGATTTAAAGCCGGATTCTAAATGCTCATAGTTTTCATCCGTATAAAATTCACCTCGTACAAGAACTTAATGAAGACGATTTTGATCGGCAATTACAATTTTGTGAAGATATGAGTGAACGAATTATAAACGATGAACATTTTCTATTGTTTCCGACGAATGTTCCTTTTTCTTAAATGGCGTAGTAAATAAATCGTCATAACTGCCGATATTGGTCCGATTCTAATAACAGAATTTATCATGAGGTTCATACACAGCAGCCTCTAAAATTAAATGTTTGGGCTGGTATTATTGGCGATCATTTAGTTGGTACTTTTTTCTTACCTGGAAATTTGATCGGTGAAATGTATTTGGAATTACTGGAAGACTCCATAGATCCTGCATTAACAGCCATAATTGAAAATCCGAATGATCGGCGGTACATTGCGAATAGCTTGATGTTCCAACAGGATGGTGCCCCACCACATTACGCATTACGTGTTCGACAATATTTAGATCAGACGTTTCCAGATCGATGGATTGGTAGAACAGGTGCCATTGAATGGCCCCCAAGATCGCCAAATTTATCACCTTTGGATTTCTTTATGTGGGGTCATTTAAAAAGCAAAATCTATGCTACTCAGCCAACCTGTGATAAAGAATTGTGAATGAGTGCCTTCAAATTACTCCTCAAATATTGAATAATGTGCGGCAACGTTTTGAGCAAAATCTTGATTATTGCATGGAGAGTCATGGTGGCCATTTTCAACATTTACTTGCCTAACGGGTCAGCTCATTCTTCATTTTTAAATTACTTTGCTGCCAAATGTATTGATCGCCACTAATGATTATGTATTAATTTTATTTAAGATTTAAATCAATAAATCTTCAAAACTACTGAACTGAAGTATATTAATTTTATATCATTTAAAGAGAATTGAAAGACCTTTAAAATAAGGTATTACTCGACCCCCCTTTCCATTTAAGATTTTAGGGTTGGTGTCACCCCCTCCCAGGGGGTTGCACGTGACTTTGCCAAACTTGTGTCCCCCTCGAAAACAAAATCGACGGGCCTGAGCGTTTTTCCAAAAAAAAATCTGAGCTGCCAGTAAATGCGTCTGTTTCGTTTTCGATGCGCCACCCTGTATATCTGCTATTGAATAAAATTGTAATTGATCGGGTGGATATACTATTATTTATAAGTCGAATTTAATTTTCTAGCTGTACCGAGTAAAGATTTGACAAACACGATACCGGACAATAATATGGGAAGGTACTGAAAAAATAAGATCTACTTGTTTGTAGATTGGCCAATGATTATTAAACATGTAATTAAAATGAGTACTTGCTTAAAAAATACAATGTTAGTTACAACCTCTCCCGGAGTTTGACAACCACCAACCTAATAGCAGAAAAATTTTAATTAAGATTTAATCTGTCTCACATTGGTAATGGTGTGCTGTAAGGTGGTGAGCACGGTGATTGGTCCAAAGGTTTCAGGATATACAGAAATTCAATAATGCACATCTGCTTGGTACGCACAGCTGTTTGTCTCTAACCACACCCTACTTTAGTGTGAGATTATCTTTCGATACAATTGTTCATCAATCTCATCTCTTCATACATTCCTCTAGCTATAAGTCCTATATTAATTTGCACGATTGATCTAAAATATGTCGACTAATGTATTCTCATGACTTAGCCGGTGTTCTTTTGCAACATTTCAGATACTGCATACTGTATTAAGTTTGATAGTCATAAAATTGAAATCAAATATATTGAGTCGACTATATCATTTTGATATTTTTCTGCAATGCTCGTACCATACAAATTATAACATCATAATGTGACCTTCGACTAGTCCGAAATGTTACTGGGAACTGAAAACAAAAAAGTACGAGAGATATCGACAAAAAAAAAATCACTAATTGTGCTTCAAAACTGATTAGTTCTAATCATAATCACGAAATGTACACGATAATCAGTTCTGAGTATGTTTTGATATTAATCTGCCAGACATACGCACTGCTATCACACATTGTATGACATCTTTTTCGAAATCGGTAGATAGTACCACTGCAAGTCTTATTACGTGATCGAAAGTTAGGTTTAGATCATAGGTATTTTTAAATTTTGCAATTGAATTCCTGAGTACGTCGAGGTCGATTTGGGGAATTTTTGCCGCAGTAGTTTCTGCAAATCCGAACCTACTTTTGTCTCTTCTTGACGCTACCACTGACTTAGCTAAAGTTAACATTTCATGATGTTCATAATGTGTGCGAATGTATGATCTGGAAATTATTCTATATCTGGTAGTGCGAATTTTTATTAGCTCCTCCAATCACTCCATAATATACTACGTAAAAACATATCAATGACTATTCCATATCCTAAAGTGACATTGCACTCATCCGACGAAAACTGAATGACTACATAACTAGATCAGTTCTGACTTGGCCGAAACTTTTGGATGACTGCTCACCTCATCTATCTACCATTCATACCGACTTTGAACATCATTTACAGGTAGACCACTCTTCTGACTCATACCTCATCTCTAACAATTACAAAGTACAGAAACCTCTTCCACCCTCACGACCTCTCTTCTATCCCAGACAGCAACAAGCTCATACCAGACCTATTCCAGTTCAAAACCCCCGACCTGTCCCTATCCAGAGACCTGATCCCGATCAAGAATCTTCCATCGAGTACGATGAACTGCCTCCTGGATCCCCAAATGACGATGTCCAATACCAAGAGGAAGAGGAACCCATGGAAGAGCCTCCGAATGATAAGGACTCCATTCCGTCACAGTCATATAATCAGGGGCTTAGCTCTGAACTAACAAACTCCTTAGGGATTCCTGCTGGGAATGAAAGGGTGCTGTTTCATCTGGTGGGCCATAACGGACCGCATTCCTATAAGTTTGGATATGACACAGGCAAAGGGTAACTGTCGTTTTGGGTGATGGAGTAGAAACACTTTCTATGAAAACACGAATTCATTTTTTTATGATGGTTCATTGACTTGGTGGTCAAAAAGAAAAGTTCTAGGGGATTTTTGTTTTCATGCTTTCCTACCTACAGTAGTAGACAAAAGTATATAGACAAATTAATATTGTGCTGTATTTCTTTTTTAACTTGTTTTATTAATACACTAACCTGTATACATAATACGTTATAGCATAATACTCACTTATACATAAATAAATTCATTAGACTCCATTCAATAAAAAATTAATTGAAAAAAACGGTAACTATGAAGGACAAAAATATATAGACAAAGCAAAACAATTATAGAAAAAAGAAGCAAAGTTCATTGAATTATAGAAAACCAACCATGTTTGTGTTAATATTTTGTAGCATAACCATTATTATCAATCACCCGCCTGGCATCGTCTCGGCATAGATTGTAGAAGTTTCTTGATATAAGTTTCATCAATCTGTCTCCACTTTTGCTCTAAAGTGGCAAAAAGTTCATTCTTGTTTGAATAATTTTTATCTCGTATTTGCTTATCTAAGTATTCCCATAGATTTTCAATGGGGTTTATATCGGGAGACTGTGAAGTTCATTTGAGAACTGGTATTTTTTCATCCAGAAAGAATATCTTTGCGAGATTTGAAGTGTGCTTCGGGTCATTATCTTTCTGGAACATTGATCTTAAGGGCATATTGTCTTCCATATAGGGTAACATAACATAGTTTAGTATGTCTGTGTATACAAACTCATCCATAATGCCATCTATTCTATGTAAAGGTCCCATCCCAAACCCCAAAAAGCACCCCCAAACCATAACAGACCCACCTCCATGTTTGAGAGTGGGCAAAGTGTACTTGGGGTTCAACCTTTGTCCACTAGGACGTCTAACGTAATGAACACCATCTGATCCAAACAGATTGAACCTGGATTCTTCACTGGCACATACCCTCTTCCAGTCACAGATGCTCCAATCAAGATGCAACCGTGCAAATTGTAATCGGTCCTTACGGTTTTTCCTCGAGATTAGCGGCTTCTTACTAGAGCGACGTGCAAATAGCTTCAAATCATTTAATCTTCTACTTATAGTTTTCGTAGAATCACTGACAATTCCTTTTGTCTCGATTTCGGCTTTTATTTGTCTTGGGGTTTTAAACGGATCTTTGGACGAAATTACTTTTATTAATCTAACTGATCTAGCATTTAGTTTTCTAGGCCGACCACTTCTCTTAGAGGCTTCCAAGATGCCTTTTTGTTTATATTTGTTCAATTTTGCCCAAACTGCTATACGCTTCAGCTCCAAATTTTTGGCAATGTCGACTTGACGTTTACCATCTTTCTATAACTCAATGATCTTAGTTTTCACATCGAAAGAAATTTCTGGACCACGCGGCATGGTCTTAAAATCACTCAACTTATTCCACAATACTTGATGAACACAAACTAATCCTCTTCTGACACGAAACTGTACTAAACTAATGTTGAAAAGAATTTGTCTACATATTTTTGTCCCTCATAAAAAAGTGCTTATATTCAGACTTGTATTGTGTTCATTGCAGATAATGTAAAAACAAGGAATTTAGATTTTCTACTAATAACGCATTTGTTTATGGAGCAATGAAGTATGAATTCGTTTTCTAAAGGTATTTAGGTAAATATTCATATTTGACTATATACTTTTGTCCATTACTGTATGTATGTAGCTCCTGCCACCATATTAGAAAATCACGCTCTAAACCAGCTTCACTCTTTTGCTTTGGTTGGAAAAAAATTTGTTGCCGAAGAACCGTTTTGGGCGTTATTTTCCCAATTTCGTAGTATGAAAGAGGCACAGTAATGGCGAAACAAGGTCAATATTCGAAAATTATGACAACTAGGCAAAATTCCAATATGTATCAACTGCAAAATAAAACTCATGTAACATGGTTTTCAGAAACCTGCGTAGCTCATTCGGGACTTTGGAAAAAATATATAATTTGCATTTTCGGGAACTGAAATGTGATTTCATTTAAAAAATATGGCATTACAGCATTATCCCGGAATTCAAAACATCTTAGTGTTGTATCAACCTATTATTTGGCCTATAGCTGAGCATTGATGTTTAAAATTATTTTCGTTCACTAGTAATCAGAGAAATCACCACTAATGACAGCAAAGCCCAGGTAAAATAATGAAAACAAAAAACACACACACACAATGTCATTTTAAATTCGACCCTGTCATTGTGACACTTTCACATATATACAGGGTGACTTTGAAGTTGAGTCATTAGTTTTCAGATAATGATTGTAGAAGGAAGATAAACCAAAATATGTGTGTAAAAATAAAAAAAAATTAAAAAAAAATGTTTACCTTGTTTTATAAAGTATCCTCCCGACAAGTATTTCAGTGCGGACCTGTGTTTGATCGTGAGGTCCCCTGTGAGGTCTTAAGTCACCTGATTCACGAGCCCGTTGTACTACATTAACAAAGGCACGAGAGGTTGCTTGCACTCGATTGGGAAACCGATCCGCATAAACATGTGCCATTTTTTATTTCGTTTGAGCCACGCAACAGACACTATTCACACGCGTTACCGACTGTATGTATAACTGAACTGAATAAAATAATTGTAAAAACATCGTTCCAAATTCTTTCGCTTTTTTGTTTCCGATGCGATGAACCGATAAGGCGGATTATATCCGTTGTTGCCAAACACGAGCACATGATATTATTATTGAGACAGGGCGGTACTCAAACTTCCAAAGGGCTATAACTTTGTTACTTTAATTTTACCAGAAAAATGGTAAAGGACTACACCTAACTGGTCTAGACGACAATGACCACGTCTCAAGTTATATATATATATACAGGGTGACTTTGAAGTTGAGTCATTTATTTTAACAGTGAGTAGATCTGATCAAAAGAAATGTTTTTTTCCTTTACCATTTTTCTGGTAAAATTAAAGTAACAAAGTTATAGCCCTTTGGAAGTTTGAGTACCGCCCTGTCTCAATAATAATATTATGTGCTCGTGTTTGGCAACAACGGATATAATCCGCCTTATCGGTTCATCGCATCGGAAACAAAAAAGCGAAAGAATTTGGAACGATGTTTTTACAATTATTTTATTCAGTTGTATACAGTCAGTGTCAGTCGGTAACGCGTGAGTGAATAGTGGTGTCTGTTTCGTGGCTCAAACGAAATCAAAAAAGGCACATGTTTACGAAAGTGCTGAACTTGTGGACATGATTCTTATTTACGCGGTATCACGGATTTATGCGGATCGGTTTCCCAATCGAGTGCAACCAACCCCTCGTGCCTTTGTTAATGTAGTACAAAGGGCTCGTGAATCAGGTGACTTAAGACCTCACAGGGGACGGCATGCCGGTGCTCCAAGACCGCACGATCAAATACAGGTCCGCACTGAAATACTTGTCGGGAGGATACTTTATAAAACAAGGTAACATTTTTTTTAATTTTTTTTTTAACTTTTACACACTTATTTTGGTTTATCTTCCTTCTACAATCATTATCTGAAAATTAATGACTCAACTTCAAAGTCACAAAAAAGTGTGCAATATTATACCAGCGGTCTCTAGAGCTTAAAATAGGAAGAAAAGTTTATATAAACATAGGTCGACAAACGTCCCCTAAGGGCAATACGGTCTTTTAAAGGGGCTCCCCTGAAGATGGTTTTACCTTAATATTTCCGAAACCTGATGAGATAAAGACATAAAATTTGGTACTCTAGCCTAGTTTTTTATGCTGGATTTAAAAATATTAACAATTTTAGACAGTTTTGTTTTGAAGCGTATCCTGAGCCCTGCATGCGCTTAAAACTTCCATAGTTTGAGAAATTCCGGTGAATAAGTAAAAGTAAACATTCGACGTCCAGGTACTATGCGATTGGGAAATGTTCTTTGATATTCACTTACGGCTGCCAATGAATCTGCCATTGCAAAACCCGTACACAAAATGCATGTCAGTCAGTTCTCTGTCTGTAAATCTTGGCATTTTAAATCGATTTAATAAAAATTTTGATTTCAATCTAGAAATTTTACACTGCTAACAATGTCAGCTTAACGTCAAAATAAGTCTTAACAAATCAAAACAACTTTTTTTGCAGTTATGGTTAGTTAACCATACATAGTTATGTATAATCAACAATTCATTTAAAATCGCAGTACATTTCCTATCATGTGACAATTTTTTTACTTTGATTTTATTAAAAAATGGCACAATTTATCGATATTCAATAAGAGTACCTTTTTTATGTAGAAAACGCTAAATTTTCAAATTCTAAAATTGAATTTCAAAAATAGAATCACACAAAAATTTTGCGACTAAAATAACCTCTGGAAACCGCTGGTAGAATATTGCACACTTTTTTCGGGACACCCTGTATAAGGACGTTACAGGTAGAAGTAATTTTTAGTAGGTTTGAATAAAGCCCATCATGTAGATCTCCTTCTTGGATACCTACCCCAATAATTGACATAATAGCTTTTAATGTTAGCAAAGAGATAACATTTGTGTCTTAGTCACCTTGGAAGGACCAGTCCAAATCAAATTGGCTATCTGTTGCATCCATTAAATTGAGTTTGTCAGTTTGACACCATAATCAACAAGATATTAATATAATGAGTTAGAAACGTCATGATCGTGATGTAAAATCATATATTTTATAACATATATAGTGTTTGTAGCGAAAACAAGTCTATAGATATTTAATCTGAGAAGACCGTAATAATGGCTCACTTCTCAAACTAGGTATGTAATGTACTATTTTTCACTCCTAACCTAAAAAATCTCCATCATTAACCGCATTATATCCCCTGGTTGAATAATGATAATGGAAAAATCCTTGGATAAATAATGAATGTGTACAGCTTCTTTGGCTTGTTGGGCACAGACATGTTATTGGTATTGAATAAATCATTTACATTTTTTTTTAATATGAGTAACAATTATTGTTTACTACAAGTCGATAC